TTAAAATTTGTAAATTCACATTAAAACTTATAAAGTTTATATTAAAATTTAAGAGTTTTTATCAAGGTTTATGAGTTTATATTTGTATTAGACAAACTATATCAAGGTAAGTTTATATTAAGACTTGAAAGCTTATATTAAGACTTGAGAGTTCATATTAAGGCTTGAAAACCCATATTGTCGTGTGTCCAGTGTGACAATGTTCTGAAAGATAGAGAATCTTCTTTAACAAGAACTAACAAAAGGTTATGTAATTATCGTGCTATTTCCGATTGATCCTACTCGATCAATTATAGCAAATTATCAGGTTAGGGAAGAGAGTTAACTTAAGAGTGAATTCTTTATTATAACAGGGTTTTTACAACACCAAGTTAGTTTGTGACTTAGCAAGGTATATGTGTAAAAGATTCAATGTCGATAAATTATATGAAGACTTTATTTTAATATTAACTTTATTAAAATAAATACAAAAAATATAAGAAATGGATAAGATATATGATAATAAATAATAAAAGATAAGTATATAATAATGATAAAAGAAATAATATTTATTAAAAGAATAAATCAAGGAACTGTTTGGATATTATATGGAACTTAAGAACTATTAAAACTAAACTGAACTTGAACTGACTTCCCAAAAACCAAAGCTAAAGAGACTTGTGTTTATATCCTTTTGACACCCTTTGTACCACAGACAAACTATACTATTCTTTACTCTAGATTGGTTCTTTGCCAATTGATACAAATAATATTATCAAAGGTAATTTTATTATCTATCCCCAGGTATCCTACTTGGATATTTCCCTAGGCATCGTACCTAGGTATATACCTGAGTAATTTAACATTTCTTAATTCGTACAACTGATTTACAAAATTAACTATAATTATAAATAATACAAATAAAAAAGATAATAATAGATAAAGATAAAAATAATAATTTAGAGTGTTATAACTTTTCCTCCTTTATTCTAGAGCTCCTGCGAGAAGCTCAATATCTTGCCTATATCTGATCTTGAATTTGATCAAAAAGTTCTCAAACTCTTCATTTTTAATATAACTTAGCCAAGTGAAAGTAATATGCTCAAATCTTCAAGATAAAAATTTTCTTATTACCTCTGTTACTTTATTGAACTTTTGAGTTATTCTCAAGAAGTGAGTTCTATTTCTTTGAATTAGATTTCAGATATTTCTTTTAATCTGACCTGTTGTTTCTCCTTATCTTTTAATTTTTTGGGTTACTTAGTTCCACGCTTTAAAATAAGCTTGTATTTTCTGACTATTGGATTTACTTGGATCGATTGTAAATCTCAAAAGAGTATCAAAATTCTATTCATTGTTAACAGTTTGGTCTAATTCATATTCAGCATCATATGCATCTTCGATATACCTGCTTATTGATTTTCTTTTTGTTTTTGTTTAGGAACTATTACATTAGTTTCACAACTGTTGACTTTTACTTAATTGTGCCAGGATTGAATTGTATATTTATATTAGAAGTTGGATGGAAACTTTAATAGAGGTTTATTAATTTTTTGTGTTGTTCAAAGGTGAGTTGTAAATTCATTTTGTTCTTAATTAAAATTACCCATAGTACCAAATACATATATATATAAATTTCAATTTTGCACAAAATTAATTTTGTATAATTCAAGAGGTGATTATAACATGTGGTTCTACAAGGTATCTCTATTTGTAATGTTTCATTTTTTCTGCATGAATTGGCTTCTGAAGTATCCTTTCTAATTTATCACAAATTAAATATATATTGTTTCCTAATTTTGTTTATATCCAAAAGGGTCTATTCCATTTTATTGAAAATTTATCTCCATGCATATATTGTTTTGTAGAGTCGTACAATAAAATGATATCATCAACTTCATAGGATTGAGCTTTCTTTAAATTTTGTTAATGGTTTCTTTGGAGTTCTTGTGCATGTTAAATATTTCTATGGTTAATAATTTGAGTATCAATAAATATTCCTTTTAAAGCATTAATCCTTTTATTTAAGAATTCTTTAAAATTTTCAATTGGATTTAAATTTTGTTCTTGATCTTGGAATTCAATATCTATTGATAGTTGTGCTTTTCTACCATGTACAAGATAAAAAGGAGTATATTTTGTAGATTCTTGTTTTAATGTTCTATATGTAAATAAAATGCTTGGAATTAATTCATCCCAATTAGATTCACTAGCACTGGTCGAAAATTGATAAAACATACACATATCAGGTACCCGATATATGCATGGTGTGTTCCTAATATCGGGTATATATCGGGTACCCGATAAGTGTAGAAAATATTTTTTTACACTTATCAGGTATTCGATATATATATAAAATATTTTCTACACCTATCGGGTACCCGATATATGCCCGATATTAGGAACATACCATGTACATATCGGGTACCCGATATGTATATGTTTTATTAATTTTCGACCAGTGTAGTCTGTAGACTTTTAGCAAAAGACCTACATAAGGTACCATTAAATTGTTCTGTTAATTCATTTATTTGGGGATGATAAGCAGAGGAAAGTTTATGTCTGAATCCTACTTCCTCTTTCATTAATTTAATTGTTTCATTCACAAAATGAGTTCCTCTATTGGATAATATTATTGAGGGAGTTCCATATTGACAAATAATAGTTTCATATAAAAACTTAGCGGTTTCTATAGCAGTGGCTTCTTTTATTGCTTTTGCTTCTGACCATTTAGTAAAGTAGTCAACTGCTACTAAAATATATTTGTTTTCAGAAGGGGTAATGTTTAAAGGTCATATGAAATCTATTCTTATTTGATAGAATGGTTGTACTACTGGTATGGATTATAATAATTGTACTTTTCCTAACTTCCCAAATCTTTGACAACTGTCACAAGATTCAATATAAGCTTTAACATCTGCTCCTATACCAGGCCAGTAATATTTTCTGGTTATATTCTCTATTGTTTTCCTTAGACCAAAATGTCTTGCTAAAGGTGACGAATGTAAATTATATAAAATTTTCTTTCTGTCCTGCAGACACTGGTCAAAATTTGGCATATCATACACTTATCATGCACCAATCATGGTGCCCGATAGGTACCCGATATACATCTTTTGACACATATCAGGTACCCGATAAGTGTCGTCATATTCCCTAATATCAGACACTTATCGGGGACTTATCGGCCACATATCGGACACCTATTTTTTAGTTATTTTTTTTATATAAATCAGGTACCCAATTTTTTTATTTACTATCGGGGACCTATTATACCTGCCACCCAAATTCAAAATCCAAATGCCGAAATCCCAAATGCCGAAATCCCAAATCCCAAATCCCAAA